GGTTGTGTAGATTCTTTTAGTTCATGAATTACACATGCTAGGTCAATTAAACAGATATATATTCTCTAGCTTCGAATGTCATATTATCAGTATATAATTGTTACATTCTAAGATTTGCATGTCACTATTTTGAGCTATTCAGCATGTCAGTTATGTGTGTTAGATACATAATTCGAGTTGGGAGTAGGCTTAGCACTGAGTAGACTAGGGTTTCAGCGTACCCTCATAGTCCCAGAACTACGTGCCCCCGTAGGTTAAGTCCCTTATGTGGGAATCAGATTTAGTGATCACTCCAGTCATGCCTTTATACCCCTGGCAAGGTATATCGACCGCTTCGATATAGTGTATACATTGGACTCCACGTTTAGCTCACGTGGTTTTATGTCGGTTAATAGTAGCTCTCACAGTCAGACTCTAGTGCATTTGACCAGGTTTTCAGTTATATTTCAGTATTTTGTCTTAGCATGTCATGTTAATAATCAGTACTTGGTCATTGCATTCAGTTCAGTTCATTTCAGTATATTTCAGTATTTACATTATGTTCAGATTATGTCATTGCTCAGTTATGCTTTGTTCAGCTTACATATTTGTTCAGTTATATTCTATATCCTGCATGCTCAGTACATTCCAAGTACTGATGCATACTCTGCGCTACATCCTTTCACGATGTAGGTTCAGGTCCTCAACATTTAGATTATGCGTAGATCGGTTCCCGATCCATACTCAGTAGCATCAGTGGTGAGTCCCCATACTTTGAGGACAATAGACATGTTTTCCATTTCTGTCTTTTAATTAAGTTTCAGTTTTTCTAGGGTTAGTTGGGGACATGTCCCAGCAACTCTAGTCAGTTAGAGGCTTTTTCAGACATAGTTTTAAACTCAGCTTTAGCATTTGAGTGATTGTTCAGTATTACTAAACTCTTAGAAGTTTATTATATATCCAGATCAGTATTGAGAAAATTTTGGGGGTTATGAGTAAAATAAATGAATTGCAAATACCTCATTTATCATAAATGACATACCTCAATTGATCGATAGAGTTGATTTTTGTCTTCTTGATCCAAATCTCTTTTAATGTTGACAATCTAATGCGCCAACTCCAATTCTTCCTATCTCTATTACATCACGTTCTAGTGTGTGTGGGGGGGAGGGGGGGGATTTATCGTCTATTGTTGTCTTTTATGATTGATTAGCAGGGGTACCTGAGAGGTAATGATTTACGCTGCGGCGCTCTCTCTTATTTATAGTACAAAAAAAACCCTAGACGTTCTCTTTCAACATGGGCCCGAATTTGGGCTGGATCAAGTTGGGTTTCTTGTGTTGGGCTTCTCATTATGAAGCCCATTGACTTGTCTAGGTATGTTTTTCATGATTGGTCATAATATATATTTTTCATGTCCTCTCATGCCGAGACTTTTATCTTCTCACAATAGGGTCAAATCATGAGCATTTTTGGACTGGTCGATGGCGGAGCTAGAAAATTTATCAAGGGTGTCCAAGAATAATTTTTTTTGATAAGTGAGGTGAATGTTATTTTGTTCAGCCTAACAATTCTGGCATGAACGATCCCAACATTCTATCAAATATGAACAATCAATATGTTTTTTCTTCTGCATTGATTTTATAATATAAAAAATATATGAATTACTATGTATAAAGTGAAATACTAATTGATCAAACGTGCCTAGATTTATATAAAACACAAATCACACGATCAAATGAATTTTTTTATTTAAAAAAGTGATTTTTTCAAAAGTACATTCGATATTGGATAAAATTAAAATTATTATCTATTTAATCACATATTTCAAATAAATTATTTATGTATGTATATATAAAACTCTATATTGATTTAAATGGTAATATTAAGAATTAAGAAACTTGAGAAATATTTAAGAATTTTAGGTGAACTAAAATTAATGTATTTGTTTGATGCAATAATAATGGTGTGTGTACAAGTGGCATGCTGTCAAAATAAAATAAAATATTGTGTTATAATGGGGTTTGAACTAACAACAACTTGATTCAAATGGACAACCTTTACAACTGTACCAAAGGCTCAATTTTTGTCAAGGGTGTCCAACTTTAAATATATATCATTTAAAAGCAAAATTTGACATATATATACAACATAATCTTCCAATGAGGGGCGGTTATAGCTCAGGGTCGTCTTAACCACTAGGTCACTAAAGTCATCGCTTGGGCCCCCATATTTTTTTTGGGGGAGGGGCATTTTAAAAAAAAAAATACTTATACGTATTATTAAAAAAATGATATGTACTTTTAAATTTTAAAAAAAAACATATAAGAAGTATAAAATAAAATAAAAAATGACCGTTAGTTTTCCCACTTTTTTAAGGGAATGGAACATTTTTGGGAATAATTTCCTTAAGTGGGAATTTGTGTTTCCTTATTATTTCCTAAAAAATTGACCCTATATGATTATTTGCCTAATACTCATCTTTTTTATTCTCTATTTTATTATTTTTATTCTCAATATTGAACATTCTCCTACATTTTTTTTTTGATTTACTGTTGTTTACAAGTTACAAAAGAACAAAATTTGCTTTTGGATGTCTTCTTCAAAATCTCAAGTGCAATAAGCAATCATTATATTGCAGGAACTCAACAATATTTCGACATTGTTATATCAACTTATCAAATTCGTGAGCCAAATTTTATTATTCTAACTTTATTTTATAGTTTTTCTTGAAAATTTGTTATTGTTAATATTCTTAGTTCATAAGTATATATTCTTTTTTTAGTTATTATTAAAATTTATTAGATTTAAATATGTAAACTAGAAAATATGATTTCGATTTTACCAAACAAGAGGAATAATACAAGTAGATTATAATGATCTAATGGAAAAACTCAATTAAATAAAAAGACTTGATTCTTTACCTAATGCATATATTGCTTAAATAATAATGTTAACAATTCCTGTAACCGTTGCCTCAATCGAAAGAAGTTTTTCGAAATTAAAACTGATAAAATCTTATGTAAGATCAATAATGTCTCAAGAGTGATTGAATGAATTAGCTATATTAACAATTGAAAAGGAATTATTTATACAAATAGATTATAAAATCGTAATTAATGACTTCGCATCTAAAAAGCTAGAAAAGTAAATTTTAAATAAAAGTATATATGATAATTTATTTATTTTTTTAAAAAAATATTAGGGCCCCTCATTAAGGTTTGACTTAAGGCCCCCAATCTTGTTGTGTCGGCCCTACTATAGCTCCACCCCTAGGACTGGTAATGTTGGATTATATGATATTATTCTCTCATGATTTTTTTATGTTTATGAGCAGAAAATACAACTGAAAAATTCAGATTGCATGTTCAAACAAAACTTAAACTTCATTTTATATGATTTTTTGCCACATGGCCAAACTGACCCTTAATATTTTATAATGTACATATATCGTTAATCTAGATGATTTTATCAAATTTTGTACAATTTTGAAAATTCTATACAATTATAAATATATTTTTATATAATTCTAAGGGAAAATTGCATGAGTTGATAAACATTATTTGTTTCATTTAATTATTGTGTGTGACTATAGTTTAATATAATTTGCTATTAAATATAGGGCCCACACCTACTTTGTATAATGAAACAAAAATAGTCTTCCCGGCTTTTGTATACTCATTTATACAAATACAATTTCATCTCTCCTCTCTCCATTCCCTCATTCTCTCTTAAAATCACTCATACACATCCAATATTTGAATTTCAAAATTTATACTCTCCCTCCTAATCATGATTCATTATTGCACGTGGCCGTCCAAATTTTCGCTGGGTTTAACACAAGATTTTGCAGCCGTCCAAATTTTTGTTTGGCTTAACATAGGATTTTGGAGTCAATGCAGGGTATATTGCAAAATCTAGAGAAATTGAAGAAGAAAAATATATTCAAGAGTTGAAATCCAAGAAAAAGAGCGACCCAATAGCATTGCAGCAAGTTATCAATAATGCTAAGACAAGCAACATCAAAATAGTTGAAGGGGGGGAATAAGAGATGGTTCATTAGATCTGGACAGATCTAGAGAATCACAACTATTCGTATAAACCCTAATGTATCGCAATTTGTATATTTATTAGTAGTTATTATTTATACACATACAAAATTGTGATTTAATTCCATATATACACATAACTATATTGATGTGTGTGCGCGTGGGTGCGTGCATGCGTATGTGTGAGTCAATATTCATAAACATATACATTTACAATTTTATAATTATATACAAATACAAATAGTTCTATATTTTATACAAAAATTTGTATATTTATACATATGCATATACTCTTATATAGTTATTAATTTGTACAAATATTGGTGTTAGTATTGTAGTAGAACTCATTTTGGACAAAAATATTTTATTAAAAACGATTAGCGTGAATCATGAGATTCTAAAAAAATTCTATTACCGTATTTAGTGTCCATGTATACATTTATTAAAAATAAAATTTGTATAAATTTAAAACAATAAAATCGAGATATACAAATCTAAGGCTCTATAGCAAACAAAACTATAGTCATGAAGCGTAATTAGATAAACTATAGCTATGGAGCATTATTTGCTTAAATTTGTTTGCCATATATGAAATTTACCCATTTTTAAATTGTCAAGGCTCTCCACATGACGACACTTTTTTTTTAATTTTCCATCCAATGTCCACTACCCACATTGGAGCCCAACTAAAAACCTCTTGTTAAGGATAAAAGAGTAATTGACACTTCATCACAACCATGAGTTGTTGGTGACAAAATGACACTTACCATTGAACAACCAAACAGACATAAGGATTCTAGCTCATTCCCACTTAGAATTGATGTTCCTTATTTTATTTTTGAGAAGAGGGATCATGTCTTTACCGTGAGAAGACATTAAAAGAACTAGGCAAGTTATAATACAATTAGACAAATCGCCGAAAATTCAACCTTATCATGAAAACCTCACGTCAACAGGTTAATTGGCCTCACAATGACAAGCCCATTACGAAAAGGTCTACTAAATCAGGTGATAATTAGGGTCCTCATCAATAGCGAATAATATGGGTTCTTTGACTATAAATAAGAGAAAGCCAGAGATAAAGACGAAAGAAATAATCTAGAGTTAGTGCATGAGTTCTTGAACTTTGAAGGATATATGCACCAAGAAAAAAAGAATCAACTCTACTAATTGAGGTATGTTGTTTGTGACAATGTGATGTAATTGCAGTTCATTTATGTTAGCTCTAATCCTAGAACCATTGTCTTTATTTATACTATTTTTTCCTATTCTACTTTGAATTTTTTTTCTTGATTCGAAGGTCTATCAGAAATAACATTCTACCTTTGTACATTCGAGGGTTTATCAGGAATAACAGTCTAAATTTAGTGTAATCCCACTAAGTAGGGTCTGGAGAGAGTAAAATGTATGCAAACCTTACTATTACCTTAGAGGTAGAATGTTATTTCTGATAGACCATCGGTTAAACATAAACCGTACAAAGTAGAATAGGGAGAAATAATGTAAATGAAGACATACATTTTAGGATTAGAGCTATAGCATAAATGAATTGCTATTACACCAGATTGTCACAAACAACATACCTCAATTAGTAGGGTTGATTCTTGCCTTCTTGGTCCAAATCTCCTTCAAAGTTCAAAATATCATGCGCTAACTCCAAATTATTCTTTCATTTCTATCTCTGGCTCTATCTTATTTATAGTCGGAGAACCTTTATTATTCGCTTTTGACGCGAGCCCTAATTATCACCTGAATAAGTTGACCTTTTCGTAATGGGCTTCTCATTGCAAGACCCATTAATCTTCCTAAGTTAGCTTTTTCATGATATATCATATAAAAAAGGAACATTTTGATTAATAAAAGATAAATTATACCGAGTCATATATTACAAGTATCAAAATCAAAATTTATTACTAACTCAAATACCAAACGTGCGATATTAGCCTTTGTAATTAGTTTTGAATTACAAAAAGAAGGAGACTTCTAGAGGTGACGAAAGAAATGTGGAAAACAATGGGAAGAGGAAGTTCAGTCGAGGAACTTCTGAGTACTTAACAAATCAGACTTTCGTCGAGAAAGTATCTGTTGATGATGATTCGTCGGAAGAGGATATTGATCCTGATTTCATTATTGTTGAGAAGGAGGAAGAAATTGATCTTGATGTTGTTATCACTACGGAGGAAGATGAGGTGGAGACTGAACCTAATGTTGTTAACGTTACGGAGGAGGAAAAGTTGGAGGAGGATGAAGAGGACGAGGAAAATGAGAGTGATCATGATGTTGTGATTGTTGAGGAGAAGGAGAGTGATCCTGGTGTTGTTATTATTACGGAAAAGGAGGAGGAGCAGTTGGAGAGTAATCCTAATGTTGTTAACGTTACGGAGGAGGAGGTGGAGACTAAACCTGATGTTGTTAACTTTGTGGAAGAGAAGGATGAGGAGAAGGAGAGTGATCATGATGTTGTTTTGGTTACGGAGGATGAGGATGAGGTGGTGGAGAGTGATCCTGATGTTGTTAACGTTGCGGAGGAGGAGGTGGAGACTGAACCTGATGTTGTTAACGTTGCAGAGGAGCAGGAGGAGGAGAGTGATCCGGATGTTGTTATCGTTACGGAGGATGATGAGGTGAAAAATGATCCTGATGTTTTTAATGTTGCGAAGGAGGAGGGGGATGATGAGGTGGAGACTGAACCTGATGTTGTTAACGTCGCGGAGGAGGAGTCGGAGAATGAGAAGGAGGAAAGTGATCTTGATGTTGTTATCATTGAGGAGAAGGCGGCTTCTATGTTGAATGCAACAAATGAGGTTGTTTCTTCTAAGTCAAACATGTGCAGGACAGGGGACAAATCCAAAGAGTCCCCTGTCCTGCACATGTTTGACTTAGAAGAAACAACCTCATCAATTGAATTCAACACAGGAGCCCCGCCTTCTCCTTAATGATAACAACATCAGGAGCACTCTCCTCATCCCCATTATCCTTCTCCTCCTTCGTAACATTAACAACATCAAGTTTAGTCTCCACATCTTCCTCCTCTTTCGCAACGTTAACAACATCAGGATCACTCTCAACGTCCTCCTCATCCTCCTCCATAACAATAACAACATTAGGATCACTCTCTTCCTCCTCATCCACAATGTTAACAACATCAGGCTCAGTCTCCACCTCCTCTTCATCCGCAACGTTAACAACATCATGATCACTCTCCACCAGCTCATCCTCCTCCTCCGTAACCATAACAACATCAGGATCACTCTCTCCCTCCTCATCCTCCTCTACAACGTTAACAACATCAGGTTCAGTATCCACCTCCTCCTCCACAAAGTTAACAACATCAGGATCACTCTCCATCTCCTCATTTTCCTCTTCCATAACGATAACAACATCAGGATCACTCTCCTCTTCTTCATCCTCCTCAACAATAACAACATCAGGATCAGTCTCCTCGTCCTCCTCATCCTTCTCCAACTCTTCCTCCTCCTCCTCCGCAACGTTAACAACATCAAGTTCAGTCTCCACCTCCTCTGCAACGTTAACAACATCAAGTTCACAAGTTCCTGAAATGAACTTCCTCCTCCGAATTATCAGATATTTCCTCACAAGTTCCTGAAATGAACTTCCTCCTCTTGTCACCTCTAGAAGGCTCCGTCATTCTTCTTTTCCTTCCATCCTCTCCAATATTCTCAGTAACTTCATATTCCTCTTCAGACTCCTCGTCATCACTTAGAAGACTTGGACCTTTGTTGTTTTCACCCTCAACAGTAAGTGGAGGAATCCCTAATGGTATATCCACAACGAAAGGCCATTTCTCGTGAGTTCGATCGTCTACCCATGTTTCACACCCACATTCACAAGTTGTGTTTCTCAATTTGGTAATGGGACGCTTACAATTTCGACACAACCATCTTGAAACAGAGCCATCCCCTGAATCCATAAATATGCGCCTGAGTCAAATCGCATAACCATTAGCATACTAAAAATTGATTAGAAAATAATTAAGTTCGCTTTAGACTTTCAAAATGACAAATATTTTGAGAAAGAAGAAGTCGTACTAAAAGAACAGTGTGAAACACTAATGTGACCAAATGTCATGATTCAAACTTAATAACAAAGGATGATAGCATGTATGGTATTGAATCTATTGATAAATTTTGATTTTGATAGTTGTGAAATATGTAACTAACACAAATAAAGTGAAACAATAATGTAATTTTAGTGATTTAATTTCACATTAGAGTTTATTCAACTAGTCAACTAATTTTTTTTATAAATAATTTTTACTTTAAAATATATGATTATGTCATTACATTGGTAAAATAAAAAATGACACATGAATTATTCTCTAGAAAGATAAAATGTGTTTCTTATTTATTTTCTTGTGTTTAGAAAAATACTCGATTGAGTTAGTTTTCATTTGGATTAGGTCTGGAGGGATAAAAAAATAGGGAGTTAATTTAGTCACATAACATTTTTTGAATTATTTTTAAAAATAATTTTATTTATTTGAACATGGTAAATAAGAAACATTTAATAGACGACGGGGTATATCTGCACCATCTTTTTTACCGAAGGGTGTATCCTCTCTACACCGCATAGTTAGGGCAAATTTTGGGGTTAGGACTAACGTAAATGAACTGTAAATACCTCATTTATCATAAATAACATACCTCAATTGATAAAGTTGGTCATTGCCTTCTTTATCCAAATCTCTTTTAACGTAGAGAATTTAATTTGCCAACTCCAAATCCTACTATATTTATTACATCAAGAAAAAAGACGTCTTGTTGGTAGTGGCGGTGGCAGTGGGTGGGGAGGGATTTATTGTCTATTGTTTTTCTTTTATGATAAATTAGCAAGGTGACCTAAGAAGCGATGGTTTACGTTGCGGCAGATATAAGTGATTTGAGTAAGCTTTCCTCGTATATATAGTTAAGAAAAAACCCTAGGTATTCTCTCTTGGCACGAGCCCCAATTTGGGCCTGACAAAATTGATTTCCTTGTAATGGGCTTCTCATTGTGAGTCCCTTTGACCTGCCTATGTAAGCTTTTTACGATATTTTCATGATTGGCCGAATATATATTTTTTTCATGATTTATTATTAATTATTGTCGGTGGGGGGTGGGGAGGGATTTATTGTCTATTGTTTTTCTTTTATGATAAATTAGCAAGGTGACCTAAGAAGCGATGGTTTACGTTGCGGTAGATATAAGTGATTTTAGTAAGCTTTCCTCGTATATATAGTTAAGAAAAAACCCTAGGTATTCTCTCTTGGCACGAGCCCCAATTTGGGCCTGACAAAGTTGGTTACCTTGTAATGGGCTTCTCATTGTGAGGCCCCTTGACCTGCCCAGGTAAGTTTTTTACGATATTTCCATGATTGCTCGTAATATATTTTTTTTCATGTCCTTCTCCTGTGCCTAAACTTTTGTCTTCTCATAATATGCTCAAATCATGAGCGATTTTGGACTCGTAATGTTGGATTATATGTTATTCTCACACGATTTTTTAGATGTATTATAATTTTTCTAAGTATTTTAATACCTTCTCATGATGAAGACATGTGATCATCGTGAGCAATTTTAGTAGATTGTTTTTAATTTTCAACTTTCACATGATGTTTTATTATGTTATTTTGTCATTTTAGTACACATCTAAATAATACTAACCGTCTATTAATGTCAAAACATTCATCATGTGACATTAATTCCTTATTGATAAACGTTAATGATGCAATTGGACATGTAATTAAAATTTACAATCTAATTGATTTTACATTGCTCTTGTCCTTCTCTTGTGCCTAAACTTTTGTCTTCTTACAATAGGCTCAAATCATGAGCTGGATTGATAATGTTAGATTATGTGATTCTCGCATGATTTTATTAGGTGTATTATAATTGGCCTAGGCCTTTTAATACCTTCTTAGGTTGAAGACACGGGATCATCATGAGCAATCTAGATAGATTCTTTTTAATTTTCAACCTTCACATGATGCTTTATTCCACTATTTTGTCATTTTAGTACACGTCTAAATAATACTAACCGTCCATTATCATGTTGTAACATATATCATGTGACATTAATTTCTCATTGATGACACTTTTGTCTCACAATTGGATATGTAATTAAAATTTAAAATTTAATGGGATTTGCATTGCTCTTGTCATTCTCTCGTGCCTAGACTTTTTCCTTCTCACAATAAAGCTAAATTGGTTATGTTGGATTATATATGATTCTCGTATGACTTTTTAGGTGTATTGTTATTTTCCTAGACCTTTTAATACCTTCTCACGATGAAGACACAGGATCATCATGAGCAATTCCGGTAGATTCTTTCTAATTTTCAACTTTCACTTGAAGCTTTATTCTTAAAATTTAAAATCTAGTGGGATTTGCATTGCTCTTGTCATTCTCTCATGCCTAGACTTTTTCCTTCTCACAATAAAGCTAAATTGGTTATGTTGGATTATATATGATTCTCGTTTGACTTTTTAGGTGTATTGTTATTTGCCTAGACCTTTTAATACCTTCTCACGATGAAGACACGGGATCATCATGAGCAATTCTGGTAGATTCTTTCTAATTTTCAACCTTCACTTGAAGCTTTATTTTTATTTTGTCATTTTATTATACTTCTAAATAATACTAACCATCTATTATCATGTCGCAATATACATCATGTGACATTAGTTCCTCGTTGATAACACTTTAGTCACGCAAGTGGACATGTGATTAAAATTTAAAATTTAATGGGTTTTGCATTGCTCTTGTCTTATCTTTCATCATAAATTCAAAATTGAAGAGTTTAAGCCTCATACATTATTGTAGTATATTTCGGAGATAAGACACAAGTATCTCTTAAGCTATAATTGAAGTTTCAGCGACGCCTCTGAAATTACTATGATTTCAAATAGTAGAATCAATAATGAGCAATTATATTAGAAAATCAAAATAGTAGGGCATAGAAGAAAACCCTTTATTTTGATCTTAGTAATTGAAATTGTAGATATGAGGCATGATGACGAACTGAGTTCCTCACTATTAGGGATGTTCATGGTTATGGTTAAAAAATCAAACCAAACCGCAATCCGAATCAAACCGATTAAAAAAATCAATATTTGGTTAGGTTTGGTTTTAAATTTTGAAAAACCAATACTATTTGGTTTGGTTTTGATTTTACTAAAAAGTAACTGCCAAAATAACCAAACCGAACCAATAAATTATATATATAAATTTTATAATTAATTATATATTATTCATAAATAAAATATAAATATTTTGTTAAATTTTAAGTAACTTAAGTCTTGAACTTTACTATTTTCTCACTCTCAAACTTAAATTTTAGTCCATCTATTACAATCATAAGTCCAAGTCCATCAAAATTCATTACTTTAGTCTTTACCTACCATACCTTTCATAAGATAGTTACACCTTTTCTTAATTGAATCACTTTGTTCATGTAATGATAACTTTAGTATTGTTTAATTGCTTAATTGAACCAACAATAGTTTTTCAGTGGATTGCTCATGTACTAGGTGTTTGTGTCTATCAAGATACGTATGTCCTCAAAAATTTATTACTTTAAAACTGAAAAAACCAGAAAAACTGAACCAAACCGTCGGTTATTTTTTTCGTTTGGTTTGGTTTGGTTTTAGATATTTAAAAAACCGACTAGATTGATTTGATTTTGATTTTAACCAATAACCGATCCAAACCGAACCACGAACACCCCTACTCACTATGATAGCCTTACATACCTAGAAGAATAAGAATTTCGAAAAGGAGCTTGAAATCTTAGATGACTCTACTTGAGGTTTGCCTTAAGTTTGGGGAGTAGAATAAGAGAGAACTGAGATAACTACCGTAATATCCTCCCCTAAATAGATGTTAAAATATCGTGATTAAGACTTAGGAAATTATTAAAAAGACATAAATACCCTTAGAAAAACTCTTATAGATCAACTGATCAAGTCCATGACCTTCCACGACTCATGAAATTCTTCTGTGGAATGAAGACGCTTTGCCATCTTTCAAGTTCTCATCCACGAGTCCATCCATGGATCGTAGAATAATCCACGGCATGTGGAGTGTCTTCGTGGAACTAATTTTATAAATATATATAGACATGTGTTGACACCATTTGACACAAGTTGAAGGTTTAGTGTATTGGTTAAGGTGGTGACTTTTTTTTTTTTTGAGGTTGTGTGTTCTACCCCCGACTAGCAACATAACAATACATTTTGACTACTACCATTTTGTTTCATTTTTAAACGACACACACTTCACTTATAATTGCACACTTGTCGAGTTATAATGTAAATACTTTTTGTTTTTATTAGTAAGGTTTAATTTGTTGTTTTTTTCCAGATGTTTCCTTCTTTATATTTATGCACCCCTTAATGAATTTTTTGGGCTATGTCACTATTATTAGGTGTGGCAAGAACGGAATGCCCGAATATTCCAATAGAAGCAAAGAAACGTTGAGGCTATTGTGAAGTAATTTTGTACAAGTGATACATGATTGAGGTATAATGAGGCAATGTTGAAACTGATGTTGAATTACTATCCTTATAGCGGAAGGCGAAACTATTCTCTACATTGAGGAGTCACCCAACCCCAAAAACTTTAGAAAAAATCTTGTATATGTTAATATAATTTACTTGACACCCTGAACACTAATATTATAGGACAGTGTGGGCACCTACCCTATTCCTAACAAGAAAGGTGAATCTTTACCACTTAATCAAAAATATGTGGAAAGCCAGAGGCAAATCTTTTACTAAATAACAAATATATTTGGGAAAATGCACAAGTACCTCCCCCCGAAATATCAGAGACACACTTATACTATACTAAGGTCCTATTACTCTCCCCTCCCCCCCCTCCCCGAACTTATTTTATAAATAATTTTCTACCCCTTTTCGGCCTACGTAGCA